AGAACAAATTGAGTTTTTGGAAACGTTCATGAAAATTAAAATTTTTATTGTACGAGATAATTTAGTTTTTGCAATAAAAGTTGAAAAAATTTTATAAATTTTAATCTCTGCAATATTTAGCGATTTTAAATTTATACTATTCAATACCATATCCTAAAAAATTTATTAGGAAATGGTAATAATACTTTTTTTGATATTATTTTCAAAATGGAAAAGGATGAATAAAAATTGAAAATTCAATATAGAATTTAATTTTTTCAAAAGTCTTAATACTTTTTCAAATCATGATCTCTATAGTGGAGTTTTTCTAAATATTATTTCTATTACTTTTTTAAATTAAAAATGTAGATTTTTAAATTTTATAAAATTTTATAACTCTACTAATCCTACCACGTAAAAAATTACAATTGGAAGTTTACCTATATTTTTTTTTTTTTTTTTTTTGACAGGAATTTCGTTTTTGTTATATTATGATAATCGGATTTAAGGTTTAAATATATTTTAAAATTCATAAGGATTTTGATTACTTTTTTTTCGATTTTTGCGTTTTTGTTCTCAGAAATTTGAAAAATTGTAAAAACAGACAAGGATTAAAATTTTCTTTTATTATTATGAGAAACTGAATATACAATGCAAAAAAAAAATTAAAAAATAATTATTTATTGTCATTTTTTAAATGTTTGCTGAAAAACTGTCAATTGAAATTGCAATATGAATATTGTTGAATTTTAAAAAGGATTTAAAGGATTATTCACGTAAAAATTAAAAAATTTATGATTGTTATTACAAACATTTTGTTTTTATTTTGATTTTGTAACTATAAATTTAAATTTGAATTAGAGTAGGGAAATCTAGAATTTAACTGTTATACTGCGTATGAATATGTGTGTAATTGTAGCTTAAAGAGTACAATAAAATCTTGCTGATTTTTAATAGTTAAGGATATAAAATAAAGTTCTATTGTTAAATAGAAAAATATTCCATTGAGAAAAATTAGTATACAAAATATTGCATACTTTTAGGGGATGCATTGAATTTAGTAGTGTGCAATACATTTACAAAATTATTTTCAAGAAGTCAAATGCAATGGTTTAAGTTTTTGAATTTCATTTTTATTTTGAAAAAGCTTACATATAAAAAATAAGTTTGATATTACATGAGATTTGTGATAAACTTTGTTTATACTTTAATGAAATTCTATTTTATATTAAATATTCGTATTGATTGGTTGATTGGTTGACGCGGTTGTTGCAGCAGGTCTACCGTCTGCTACCACTACCTCGTCATCTTCAAGCCATCATTACAGGGCGTATGATTACAGGTGGCCTATCTAAGACACCCTATTTTCTCGCGAAATCTATCTAGATTTTTGATGTTTATCTACGACATCCAACCCTGCGACGAGTTTGGCACCACTCAGAGCTCGACATTTGCAGAGAAAGTGAAAAATAGTCTACCTCTTGTTCATTCCGCGGTAGCTGCGACACTTAATATTGAAGAGAGATTCTAGCCTAGCCGTACGCTTCCTCTATGGCTGGTGGCTTGTGTACACTACGGTCAAGCAGACAAAGCATTAGATCAGCTTTCTTTTTTTGAATCATGAAAATTATTTGACTTACTATAACTGTTACATTATTTTAATGCATCATTTTAAAAACAAAAAAAATTTGTTGAAGGTCTTTATTGAGAAAATAAAACTCTATTAATATTTAGAAAAATATTTTTAAATTGAGATTAAATTTCACAAAATTTGAAATTCGCATTAATTGAAATTATAGATTATAAGAAAATATATTTAAAATGGAGAAACTTCTAACAAAGAGAAAATTTTACATAACCGGGAAAACATTTTTCACCGGAAGACTATTTGCTCTTGTTTGAATTTTAGGAAGCATATAAATTCCATAATCAATTTATCAATCCAACATAATGAAAACTGATGTAATTGGAGTGAAAACTAAATTTTTATACCGAGATAATGCATAATTATATTTAATAAAAAATTAGAAGCAGCATGTTAATTTGAAGGACATTTTATTATGTTCTTAAATTTTTTAGAAGATTTTATTTTTGCCAAAAATTTTGTGTCATTATTTTTAATTCCATATAATTGAGATAGGTTCTCATTCAATTTCATTTCATATATGGTATGACTTGAGTACGAATTTAGATGGTCATTTATTCGACAACACTGCCATATTTTTTTTTATAGATGGTGCTTCATTTTTATATTCCTCGTCTATAAAGTTAGCACACACACACAAAAAAAAAAGAAAAGATAATTATTATTGTGTTTTATCAGTTTATTTCGGTAACCATTATTTCGGGACGTGAATTTGAGGTCTCATATAAAAAAAGAAAAAAAAAAAATAAATGAATAAATTCTCATATGTCATTCTATTATTTTATTTTTTTCTTTCATGGTTCCATTTATTTATTGTACGAACTTTTAATTTTATCTTTTAACTCGTATATTTTAAATGTATACTTATTATGTGTATGTGTATTTAAACATTTTTGAATGTATTAGTTTATATGAGCATTTTATTTTTGGAAATTATGTGTATATGGTAGTGTTTTAATGTCAGTGTAGGCTATAGAGAATTACTGAAGATTATAAAAATGATTACAAAAAAGGTAATGATAAAAAGTCAAAAAGAAAAAAAAAATATAAAGGAGAAAAAAAAAATTGCAACAAAAATTCTTAATTACCGTAATTACTTAGTGCCGTTAGGTTACATTTGTTCACTTTTTGTTCCTCTTTAATATACGAATGTATGTACAGTTAGTACTTTTTGTTTTATTACACGGAACAAATTAAAGAGTGCCATCTATATACATGTAGATTATTTTATAAAATATATGAAGTTTAAATAAGGCAGTCAGTATAATGTTCATTTTCAACTGTTCCCGACTTGAAAATAGTAGCTAATGTGAACATCAAATAAATTTAAGATTTAAATTTTATATAATTGAAGCTTTAAGAATTTTAAAATTTTATTAAAACAAATGTAAGTCTTCCCACATGTTAATTACAAGCTAATCATTTAATTCCAGTTCAACTGGAAAAAATGAATCGTTAATCGTTGATGAAAAAAACATCATATCATTAATATTATGTAAGATATGTATTTAATGCAGCTCATATAGTATTTATAACAAACAGTTTGTGTGTGACAGATATAAAAAAACACTCTCCATAATGCGACTGCATAAATTAAACTAATGGCTACTCAAATGCGACTATATAAACTACGTAATTTTTTACTTTTCAATAATTAATAATTTCATTAAATACTTCGAAAGAACATAAAGTTGAAATGAAGACAATTGTAGTGTGTTTACCCTAGAAGTGTAGCAAATTGCGATACATGCAATCAATAATGATAAAAATTTTGTGTTTTTTTTTAAATCTTATTCTTATTAATATAATTTGTAAGTGTTTTGCCTCTTAGTACAGCAGAAATTTTGGAAATTAATTCTTTAAGAAAAAGTAAAAAGTGATTGATGCAATGGGGCCCTATTCAGTTACGTATTACCTACTTTACGGCATTACAATTCGTAAATATACCTCAAAGTGTCCTGTGTTAACGTAAATTTCCCTTTAATTTGATGTTGAACATTACATTTATACAATAAATAAAATTTAAAAATTGGGTTGGTTATTAAGCAATTAAACGAAATAACAAAAAAAAAAACATTTTTTATACGTGCGAATGTTTCGATTTTATATTTTATGTATAAATAAATAAGGATATAGTAACAATACTATATCCTTTATGTAATACATTTTGAATGATAGTTTAATACATACACATATACACAGATATTTTCGTATATAGCGTAATATGGTATGCATTTAATATAAGAGGGCATAATTTCTTATTTTTAGGTAATTACCACTTTTGTTGTGATATATAAAATTTATTATTTGAAAATAGCCCATTAATAAAAGCTTTTAAAATTCTTGTTAATAGGACTTAATTTTATTTTTACGCCTATATACACTGAAATGTATATAGATATGTAGAACATTAATTCAAATAATGAAAGTAAATGAAATCTTAAGAGATTATAGTAAGTTTAAAAAACAAAACGTTAAATAAATAATTGCATACACATAGAAAATCAAGTATAGATACTGTTGGAGCCAATTAATTTTTCCAAAGGATTACAATGTTATATAGTGAACAAGGTTTTCGATAATTTCGTTATAGTTTCAAAAATTGTAAGGTAAGAATAGGAAAATCATAAAATCTCTTAAAGTACTTTTATTTAGAAAAAAAGTAATTATTAGTTTCACTTTATCATAAAATTTATATCACGACAAAAGCAAAAATTTAACATCAAATGCCAAGCCATCAATAAGTATAATTATTTCTGTTAACTCTCTTAATGCTTGGAATATTTTCTTATATTTTATGGTATATAAATAGAAGTAATCAAAATGAATAGGGGGATCCAACCAGCTATAAGCAGTTTTAATTTCGATGGCTTTATTTCTTTTCCGATAACTAAGATAAAAGACCAACAACTCCGCTGGTGTAAAATATAGATCACAGATTTGTAGACAGAAAAATCTACAGGTTGTTTCTGGCCATACGCTACACACTAGCAAATATCTATTTGATAATACTGATGCGTTTGTTTCTTTTGTGTGTTTTTAATTGTTATTTGAAACAAAACCTTTTTTTTATAAAATTATTAATGTAAACTTTGTGGCGCTGGTATCCGAGGGTGTAATTAATATTATAATAAATTATTACATAACATTATATAGGAAAATAAATAAATAAGATTATAAATGAGTTGTAGATTGTTTTATGAAAAAATTATTTGTAATTCAAGGGAAAGTGTATGTATGGAAAAACAATAACTTTAGAGATACTAATCCTAAAATTTAATAATTCCAAAAGAAAAATTTTATTTTTAAATTTTCTAGAAAATTTCTTAATTTATTTAATAATTTTCTAATAATTTTATTGTTTTTCTCTTTACAGATGGTAGAAAACAAGTTTGTTATCAATAGAAAGTTTTGTTGCTCTAAAAATCAGGTTTCATCTAGATAGAATTTGTATGAAAACAACCACAAATAAAAAACAAAAAAACTCCTTAAAAAATAATAACAAAATTATTCATTCACATACGTAAACTATTAAAAAATAGGAAAAGTATTAAGAATTAAAAAAACAACTACAAATTTATTTTAATATTGGAAAATTATTACAAGTTATTTTTTTCCTAATTATATCAAAGAAAATTAAATATCCTTTAGTATAATACAGCAAATTAAAATGAAAAATATCATGAACAATTTAAATAAATTTAATACCAAAATAATTATAGAGCAACAATTATTAAATTCAATTCGAAAAGTATTGAAAGATTTCTGAATAATCAAAAAATCCAAAAGAAAAACAACAACAATTAAAAGGAAAAAGAATTTTTTTATACAAAAATTTTCATAACGTTTCGAATGTCTTGGAGTAAGAGCCAAGGAAAATTTTACTTGCGAGCTTTTAGGAAAATTCCAATGCGTGAAGGCCTAAAGGAAAATATTTACATTTAGGTAAGTTCTTGTCTTTTTCTTTTTTAAATCGATAATAAAATTAAAAAATTAAATATTAAAAAATTTTAATTTTTATATAGCCATGAATTTAATAAATATGGACTCGGAGAACCGAGTGGTTCTCAATGTTGGAGGTATACGTCATGAAACGTATAAAGCCACACTAAAAAAAATCCCAGCGACTCGTTTATCGAGACTGACTGAAGCACTAGCTAATTATGATCCAATATTAAATGAATATTTTTTTGATAGACATCCAGGTGTATTTGCGCAAGTGCTCAATTATTATAGGTAAGTGTGAAATTTAACTATATTTTTTTTAACTATATCAATTCAAATTGAAATATTTTTAAAAAATTCTTTTAAGTTTTAATAAAAATAATTGTGTATTAACAAGTTTAAGTCAATAAGCGGCTATCTCTTAAATATTTTATATTTAAAAAAAAATGTTATACAAAATGTAAATTACTAAGAAAATTAAGGATATAGTTTTTTTTTTATGCCAAAATTTATAAGGATGATATATTTAAATAAGGATGACTTTTTCCCATTCAGTTACCTGGATTCGGTAATTTATTTTCTTTATAACCGAATATAGTTTATTAATTAAATATGGTTCTTTGTTTATATTACAACCTTATTTAAAGGAGATTAAATTTGAAACACACCTGAAAATACCATTTTTAATACCCTTAAATGTCTTTCTGTGGCTTTACTAATTTAATTGAGGAAGTCATGAATTGTCATATATCGATTTTAATGAATTTTCATTTCCTCCACTTCTTTAATATTACAATAGATGTACCTTATATCAAATAGTTTAGTAGCGGAAACTATATAAATCGAAATTTGAAAAAACCTTGAAGAATTCCAGTTAAAATAATTAACATCAGTGATATAATATTTAAATACTTCGAAATTGAACGCATTAAAATCTTTCTTTTATTATAATCTTAATGATGTTGACTCTTGAGAGAAAATTTATGATTATTATCTGAATTCAATGTGTTACACTTAGTTTCATATTATACGATATTTCAGATAATTCAATAATACAGTAATAATTAAAAAGAATATATTTTTATAATAAACTCATTATGATCTTATTCAGTTTATAGAAGAAAGTAGTAAAATTACTGACCTTGAATTAAAATATCAATTAAGAATAAAAGAAAAATAATATGCACACATTTATATAATTTTTTGAGAAGGTCCTTAATAAATTTCAGAATCATTAATTTGAAATAAAATAAACTGTCGCCTATAATTTTTTTTAAAAAAGTGTTCTTTACTGGAACTACATAAAAATCGGTATATAACGCATTGAAGTTAATGAAAGGATTTTGTATTTTAGAGACGATTAAATTTTTATGTATAAGAAAATATTTTCTTCTTTTTTCTCTACTCTCTTTCTCAATTTATATAAAATATTTTTATTTTATTTCTTGTTTAATACTAAATATTTTTTATGTTATAATAATTATTATTTAGAAAGGATATTTTTTTTTTTTTGTATAACAATTTTAATAAAATCGTACAATAAAAATTTTTAATATAAATTCATTTCGAATAATCGTTTTCAATTTAATATTTTTTAATAAAAATAAATGTACCATTAAAATATCCTTTCTGTTTTTGCTTTGAGAAAAAAATTCGCCTTTAATGATTTTAATTTGAAATTGTTGGATTTAGCTGTGAGAAAAGTAAAATCAAGACAAATTAATTTATTGTTATACGCGTTACTAAATTTTTTTTTGTTTTCATAACAAATTGAAATCGATTACGTGGAATTTGTATAAAGTTTTTAATAAAGAAACGAAAAAGATATAACAGTTGTTGCCTCGATGGTTTAATAACTTCGTAGTAAAAAGGAAAATGGTATGTTAAGAAAGGATATAATTATAATTTGGTCCTTTTATTTTAAATTAAAACATTTTTTTTAGTTCATTATTTATCATTAAATATGCTTTAAGTCCGGTTCTTTTGAATATTGTTGAATTCTTATTTTTATTTGATCACTTAAATGGAAATTGTTTAAATTGTGAAAAAAAAAATAAATTTTATAATAAGAATAATAATTTAATAAGATGAAAATTATTTAAAATACAAGGTTATAATAATTTTGTTTGAGATTTATTTAATGAAGAACAATTTTTTTGCTTTACACTCCACGACTTCAAGTAATATCTTTTGAAACGAATTTCATTTTTTGCGTTTTAATAAATAAAAGCTATTATTTGTAATAAGATAAGGCATAAATGATAATATTCACTCGCCCTGTAAAATTGTGGAGTCGTAAGAGTTTCAAAATCAAGTTCATTTTATTCTTTTAAATTCTTCAAATTTATTTATTTGATTTCATACTTTGAATTATTTAGTTAGAATACTTTGTACATAAAAAATTTCATGCAAAATCCTCTAATTCCACTCATTCCTCATTTGAAAAGTAATATTTATTTTTCTCACATTGAATTTCATGGTAAAAAATTACTCAAATTTTTAAATAATTCAAAATTTAATTTTTAATGAGAGAAAACTTACGCAGTCTTTCAGATCAAATATTTTATTTTTCCAATAAGATTACTCATTTTTTTTAATTGGATTTTTGTGTTCAAGATCAAATTGAATAAATTTTGTATGTATTTTAGAATAAAACGAAAAAAAATAGAGTTGACCGTGTCAATTCTGTGACATCCGTACGAATTTGTTATCCTATATGCGAACAAATTTGTCACAGCTGACTTTGGGACAGACTATAATCTTGAGTTACGATTTTAATTTACGCAAAATTTCATTACTGGGTTTTCTAAAGTATGACCTACTATTAAAGTATAAACTACTATTAAAGTTGCATGGCAGCTACCAGAAAGAGCCAAGCAATTTTAACAAATTTTATCAAGCACATTGGCCCTACTCATATATCATTTTATCAATGAAATTTTAATATCATAGCTTTTATATTTTCTGAGATATAGCCAAATAAATTTCAAAATTTATTGTATGGCAGCTACCCGAACCAATATCTTATTCAATTTAAATTTAATAAATCATGTGTTCAAAATTTGGTGAACTTAGCTCAATTAGTTTTTGAGTTATCGTTGGGACGGGCGGACGGACAGACAAAGCTAAGTCAACTCAGAATTCGACACTGATCAAAAACATACACTTGAGTCTATATCTAAGACCGTTATTTCTTAGCGTTACAAACGGTAAGGCAAATTTAGTATACCCTTCGAACATACGTCCGTACGGGTATAACGAGGTTCTCTATGTAATACGAAATAATTCTTCTCACTCGAAAATATTACATTATACATATATATGATAGTTACTAATTTTCTGCTCACTTGCCGAGTAAAATAGCGAGATAGACGATTATTAATTCATACTTAAAGCGTTCTCTAAATAATCTATTCTATTCCGAAAGTTAGTAATGATTTTTTTTCCACAACATTGTTAATTTTTGAGCAGGCATTTGTGTGCCAGTTAATCGATAACATGGAGCTATTTAGTTAACTGATTAATATTTTATTAACTCAGTTTGAATTCATCACAAATAACCAATAATAATATTTTAATTTTTGACCAATTTATAAAAATTTTGTTAATTAAATTGAAAATCAGTGGTAGTCCTTGTTCTCTAGCTTACTAATATTCTCAAGTTTACTACGAAATAAGTCCATATGAATTGAAAATTACTTTACTCGTTAAATTTTTTTTTAATTTATTAAACGCGTCCTTTGACTTTTTTTATACTCTTCTTTCCACTGTAATAGAACTTTATAATTATTTTAAATTTTCCTTTTAAATTTATTTATTTAATTTTTTTTTTTATAAATCAGAATTAAACAAAATACAAATAAGATCTCTCAAGGATGTAAAAGGATATAAAATGAAAAGGAAAAAATAAAATTAGAATTTAATATGTAAAAACTTTTGTAATATTATTCTTATTATTTTCTATTGTTCTTTCTTCAACAAAAAAGAAGACTGAAAATATGAAAGGAATAAAAAATGTGTTAGAAAAAAAAAAAGTTTCGAGTCGACTTTAAAACTCTGCCATATTGTTTAATTTAAACGAATTAATTGCTATGCCGCTTTTAATTGTCGTTAAAATGTTGGCTCTTTTTATATTTTAACTTTAAATTGACCAAATTAATTAAGATAAATTTTAAATATACATTTTTTTTGCTTTCATTCTTTAAAGGACTGGAAAGTTACACTATCCCACAGATGTTTGCGGTCCCCTATTCGAAGAAGAATTGGAATTTTGGGGTTTAGATTCAAATCAAGTAGAACCATGTTGTTGGATGACATATACGCAGGTAAAATTTTATTTCTAAATAAATATAAAATTAAGTTTACTTTGTGTTAAAATAAAAGAATATTTGTAAAATATACGCCAAAATTTATTATATTATGCAAATTCAAAGCTGGCTATTAAGAAAATAAATGTAATCTAAAAAAATGTACCATTCTTATCATCGCTGGACATAATTTCAAGATTTTTTGAGACCTTTCAAATGAAACCTAATTTTTGTGTGTATATTTTTAGAAACTTGTTTCTTAAGTCTTGTATTGAATGTGTGGGTTCCCTGGAAATTTTAACCCATTAAAGAAAGTCAAAATTTTATCACAAAATGTTTTAGTTGTAGTTAGCACAAATTATGACTAGAATCAAAATTTCAACATTTGGTCAAAACTCAAAGAATAAGGCAGAAATTAAATTTTTGTTTTCTAGATACAAACTAATTTCAAACGCATAATATGAATAACATGATTGGCAGTTTTCTGTGATAAACAGAACCTTGCTTTTACAGACTGAAAATTTTAAATAAGAGGGGACAAATTTTAATAAGAGGGGATGTTTCTTTTTCTGTATTTTTTAAATTTTCATGTTCATTTTCAGAAATACTCGATTTTAGAAAACTTCTTTTTCATCTTATACAAAAGAAATTTAAATTTCCTCATATTCACACTTTACGTGATTGCAAATATGGAAAAATCTTTTAACTTATTATACTTTCGTCAAAAATTTCATATAAGATTAAGTGAAGAAGAGCAATGTGAAGGAATCATTTTGTGTAAATAAAGTGGAAAATGAAAGAAACAAAATTAAATTTTTTCAAGCAATTTCTAATTTACACGGTTTGTAAAGCAATTCCTTTCGTCTTATTTTTTTCTTTTCTTATGTTTATTCAAGTAGAATAATAATGGATCACAAACTTTCATAAAGACCAAGAATTTAGAAAAATAGAAATGATAAGAGTAGATTTTTGAGATGAAAAAAAAATATGATTTCTTTTTTTTTTTTCTAAATTTTCTTCAATGAAATTTTCAATTTGTTAAGTATTTGAATTTCATTAGGTTTATTTTTCGAGAATCTTTGCCTGTTAAATCTGAATATTTTTATTTGTGAATTTGATTAAAATTATCTAATGATATATGTAGATTTATATTTTGTACCGTATGCACATGCCAAAAATTATTGAGCCTAAATTTTTAAACTGATATTTTCATTGCGTTGCTTTATTTTGAAATAGCGATTCTTAATTATTAAAAAATAATTATTTTTGAGAATGTTCATTTGCTTAAAGCCTAAATTTAAACTAAATAAATTATTTTCCATAAGAAAATTATCTGAACGAATGCTTGAAATTCCACAGCTATATCTACACAATTATCCTATAAATTACTCCAACTGCCTCAAAATAAGGCAAATTAGAGTGCGCTGTTTAGGTTGCTGTTATCTCATTTTTGTCGTATTTCATGATACATGTAATGTTATCCAACAAATATTTACGTCTATGTAAATTCTATATAATCCTGTGTTGCAATAAATTTAAATCTTTCTTTAATCGTCATCATCAGATTGTTTTTATTTTAACGTGATGCAATTACTGCAATCAGCAACCTTATATTTCTATAATTTAATTATGTTTTCAAAGTAATCATAAATGATCGTAGTTGAAAGTTTCTTACATTTTCTTTTTCTTACGAACTTACGAAATTTTAAATATATAAAAAATTGCATAGCATTAGGGGCCATTTAAATATTATTCCGTATTTGTCTATTTATTTATATTTATTTTATTTAAAGTGTATCGCTAAGTTTATCACAATATTGTGAAAAAGAAATTATTGATTATTTGAAAATCTAATGTTGTCTTTGTATTTCTCAGAATATTCAAAGAAGTATTGAAATCAAAAGTAACATAACTTTTTCAATTACATATTTGGAGATTAAAAAAATTTTGTCATATTATTTTCAAATTTAACAATTAAAAAACATTCGAAAACTTTAATTTACACGAACATTTTTGTTTGAATTTCATACTAAACGATTGTATATATCATTATTATCGTAACATTCTCGTACTTCAAAATTTCTATCCAAATTGTGCATGGTGCCACTGAGTAAATAATTAGCATGCGTTACATACTGGGTGTGTTGACTGTTGCATAGTATAAATCTAGATATTATATAAGTTTTGATCACCTTTTCATACTTAAAAATTTCAAAATTTATGTATACATACGTTGAGAACGTTTAATAAAAAATATACATAGGTACTGAATATTCGTTGAAATATTTTTTAATTTTCGTATGTTAATGCACCCACATATTCTGAAAATAATTAAATAAGCAATATAAATTTTAATATGTGCGATATTTAACTATAAATTTGTCTAGACATGAAATAAGAAAATTATTTTATAAGGTAAGATTTTTTAATTGTAAAAATAAAGTTCGCATTTAAATATTAGAACCGCATAATTTTTCATACTATTTTATTCACGTGCAAAATGATTTATTTACGTTTTTGATATGGAATAAAGTTAGCTTAAAGTAAATAACTGTAATTATTTAAATGAAGTTAGGAGACCTGAAAAGAACAATTAACAAAAAAAAAAAAAATGAATAGAAATACAAATAAAAACATTAGGAAAATTTCTAGAGAACATCGTAAAATATTCAATTTTTTTCTTCTCTTTGTTTTGCATGAAAATAGAAAAGCTAATCCTTTCGTGGTTGCAAGAATTTTCAATTTAAATTGAATATTTGCATATACATTTTTCTTGTGGGTTTTCTATTTTCTTTACTATGATTATTAAAGAAACTGATTTATGCAATTAGTTGGAAAACAAGAGAGAAATACTTTTCAAAAAAAAAAGTCAAGGAGAAAAAAGTAAACGGAATAGAATCGGAAATAATAGAACAAAGAAAATGAAAAGTGCTTTTAATCAACTAGATGAAATGCAAGTGAATTCTGTTTTTTTTTTTTTGTATTTTATTGAGTCAATTTGTGCAGTTATTTGAAAGGCACAAGAAAATGGAAAAATACAATAAAAAAGAAATGGCAAAATTTCCGGTGCGATTAGAAAGAAATTTTTTTAGTTTTTTTTTGTTTTGGATAAATTGCTATAAGTTAGTTTAAAGTTGTAAATTCATTTATAATTAAATAGAATTTGTTTGATTTTTTTGAATTGGGGGATTTACTTTATTGGCGTCTTTAAACGAGAATTAGTTTTAATTAATTCGTTCTTTTGTAGGCTTTCTTTTTATATAAAAAAGTTTATGCTTTCAAAGTAAGTTACGTATCAAGAATTAAAAGGGTTTTGTAAAATTTTCTCCATAGAACAGTTTTAAAAATTCAAAATACTTTAAACGATATTATGAACTTAAATAATACAGAGGCTATATATTAAAATATTCTTAAATTTACATTTTACTTACTGTTAAACTTTTTATTTCCATATCAGTGCAATATAAATAAAAGAAAAATTTTAAATGAGTTAGAATTAAAACATTCAATTATAATAGTTTTTAATAACATTTGCTAAGACTAAGATATCAAATGTGCTCGGAAATATTTACTATTTGCCATTTAAAAGAACGAAAATTATGCGAACCGAGATATTTCAGAACTATTCTGGTCATTCGTATAATTCTGAAATATTCGGGTAATACAATAAACTGGTCAATTGTTTTACCATTGGAAAGTTTTGAGAATGTGGACAGAATTTTTGAAATTTGGAATTTCATGATTCTAAGAAATATTGTTAAAAATACCTTTAAAATAAAATGAGAAATAAATTTTGGAAATTATTTAAATCTTAATTTCAAATAGTAATTTCGACTACAAAGTCATACTTAAAGACGCTTTGAAAAATGTTAGTGCACCATATAAAATACGTACAGTGGCACATATTTTCACAAAAATCAGGCACGGATTTGATATAAAGGAAAGACCGTAATTCTTTTACTTTTTTAGGAACGAAAATGGTATTGCTAGAATTAAGCATTTGAATCAAAGCTGATTCAAAATTGTTATTTCTGTAAACTACCTAGATTTAACTCTCTATTACAAAAATTTGCAAAGCTTTGTTGTAGACCCGAATCAAAATACCAATACGCCTGCAATAATAATAATTTTACATCTTCAATAATATTAAAATAGTGTTAATTTTCGAATAAAAAAAATTCATAATTATTTTACATTAGATTTTTTAACAATTTTTTAAAATAATCTTAAAATACTGTTGAAAAACCATCTGGAAAAATATTAAATTTCAAAAGATTTTAAAGAAACTGAAATGGAAATTAATTTATGTAACAAACAAACTTTGTTATTTTTCTCTCATCAATTTTTTGTATTTTTATTTTTTTTTTGAATTTCATTTGGTTATTTTCTTTTTAAAATTCTGATAAAAAATTAAAATGCAAATTACAAATTTCATTTCGTTTTTTTTTAACTAAAAAGAAGAAAAATATTAAATTTTAAAATAAATTGAAATATGAATTAAAACTTAAATTGCCACATCATTTATGCAAAAATCATTTTTATAAGGATAACGAAAAAAGGATGTAATTATGTTAAAATAAAGGAAAATTGAGAAATAAATGAAAGAATATATAATTTTTGAATTGGTTAATTTTTGGTATAATAGCAATGGAAATTGTAAATATGTATTATAATTGTTATACATATAAAACTGAGGAAGAAATATTATACGAAAATATTCTTTAATAACAAAAACTTCTGTTTAATTTTATACAATTTCGTACAATTAAATATTAATATTAAAGTGAAAAATTTTATAAAGTTTTATAAGAAAAATTGTAAAATTTTATCATGTCGATAACATTTTTTAAAAATATAAACTGCTGAAGGATTACTTAACAATTTTAGAGAAATTTCGGAGTTGAATAGTCAAGTAAAATGAATTAATTCTAGTATTTAAATTTTTTTCTAATATTTTAATTTCTACTTTCTTATTAGCTATTTTCTTATTGATTTCTAATTTTAGAGTGCCGAAAAAC